GCCCCCCCTCACGGGAACCCCCCAAAACGGGGGGGGGGGGGGGGGTGCTTGCAGTGACTGTGGATGGCGCTGCCAAATAGCACAAAATGAATGGATGTCACCACCACACCAGTAGTATTGAAATCCAAAGTGTTCGTTTATTGGAACGTCATGTCACCAGAACTAGCCTGCATATTAGCCTATTAGCATCTATGCATGATCAGAATTTAATTCCTTTATAAATACATAAAGTTGTTTTAGCTAGGAATGCACATACTTGTATATGATGACGACAATGTATTTTGTAAAAAAAAATGTATTATGATGTCCTTAAGACCAAGTTATTCTAAGGCATGCAAGCAGTTGTCTCATAATACTGTATATCGTGAGATGTAAAAACATATGAAAGAAAAAAGGTACTTAAGGTGTATCTAAACCCAAATGCAAAAAAAATCCATCTTAATTTGCTAGTGCATCCAACACTACTCTTTCCACTAGCTGCTCCTCCAAAGAGTGGAGCCCCCTAAGATAGAAAGTGTGTCCTAGCCAGATCACCAGGTGAAAATAAAGAAAAAAAAGACTAAAGAAAGAAAACCAATGCAGCCACCACATTTGAGGATTGGTAAGCTGCGCTATATAACATTTGTGTTTTTGGATTTAAATACACTTCCATTAGAGTGGCCAGTAACTTTGTGCCAGTGAAGATAAGCTTTCCACTCTCCCTTATTAAGGCGTACTGGGGTGGTCACAAATGATACAAAAATGTTGAGTTGAATGCAGCTTTATTCAATTATACTATATAAAATAAGAGAATAGTGTATTTGGAAGATTGTCACAGCATTATGCAGGACTTTGACAGTGCCAAAACAAAAACTGCATAATTTGGGGTCTTGAGGTGTGTTTGGTTTAGGGCCGGATTTCCCGCAAAGCAACTGAGGCCCAGCCTCAAGGTGGCAGGGATTACTATAGCCTGCCGCCCAGGACATTAAGTTCCTGGGTGGCGGGCAGGTAGTTGTTTTCTACATTTAGTCCTGCTTTGGGCAAGAAGGACTAAATGTACAGCGCAGCCTGCCCGTCAGTCCTATTGTTTGTTGGGGGGGGACAATGTTGTGTACCTTACCTAATGGACAAGTATTTATAGCTGCGACCTGAATATTTCCAAAAATCTTATGTTGTCCATTACTTGGTGGGGTTAAAAAGGTTTGGGTTGTGATAGTGTATCCAGATCTTTTATTCAGCCCTTACTTTTATTTACTTTTACAGGTCAGACTCTGTCTTTGGATACCACTTAAGAAAATCCAAGTTTTAAAATGTACCACTAAGAGACGAAACCATTCCAAAGTATTCACATTTTTGTTACAAAAGAAAAACAAAAACACAGTGTACACAGAATTTTATCCAAAAAAAGTACCTCCTAATTATTAACGTAGATGAATGTGTTTCTATTGTGTAATTAATATGCTCACTATATATTATTGTTTTCGGTTTTATTGGATAACTCAAGTTCCAATTAAGTACAAAATCATGTTCTGGCATCAAATTAGGTGTTTCCTAAAGAAGAACGTTGTACAGCTTTGAAATGAAAATGACTGTAATCCTTTTTTGAAGTATACATAAACCCAGTCACTAAAATCCATTGAAAATGTTAACATGTTAAAATAGTATTAAACTCTTAAACTTTTCTCAGTAATAGATACAAATAAAACAAAACTGTATACATTGCCCAGAAAAGTATTTCTTCATATTAGTAGGTTTGATTGATCCTTCCACTTTACCATGCCTTGGAGCATTCTAGTTATGATTGAGAGCTAGTCCTATAGGCAGGCTGATGAAGGGGAACTGCTCCCCAAAATGCATTCCTGCACCTGTACTTAGTGACATCATTTAAGGGCGAAGCCTGGCACTGGAGATGATCCGCATACTTAGTTGCTGACTAGTGATGGACCGAACACCCCCCTGTTTAGTTCAAATTCGAACTTTAGAACATGTAAAAACTTAGGGGCCTATTCACGAAGCTGCCAAAAGATCTAGCCGTAGCTTCGGCCGATCCTTCAGCTAGCATTGGCCCCAGGACCCCTTCGGTTCAGTAGAACCGAAGGGGTGCTGTACGGGCTATTCACAATAGCCCGTACAGCTCCCTAACGTGGTCGAGCCGATTGCATATGTCTCGGCTCGGCTGAGCCACGCTGAAAGCCGAAGCTGGCGGAGCGGCCGGCCATTGGCCGGTCGACAGCCTGCTTCTGACAGCTGGGCGGAGCCAGCCGTGATCTTTTTTTTATTCGAATTTTCTAATAAAGAAAAAAAAAGAAAAAGCAGTGTTTCTCTCCTTTTTTGACGGCAGCAGAACCACCGGACAATAGAAAACTGTTGGGCGGAGCTAACTGTCACTGCTAGCTCCGCACAATCGTTTTCTATTTACTTTTTGGTATTTTTCTGTTCTGCTCTGAAGGACCGAGCAGAACAGCCGAGCCGAATGCCGCTCAGCGGCATTTGGCTATTCACTCACTGCTGTTCGGCATCTATAAGAATAGGCCAAACAGCAGTGAGTAGCCTGCCGGAGGTAAAATGGCTTGGCCAGCTGATTTGAAAAATGTT